TCTTACTCCAGTGTTGCTCACATCTTACACCAGTGTTGCTCTCATCTTACTCCAGTGTTGCTCTCATCTTACACCAGTGTTGCTCTCATCTTACACCAGTGTTGCTCTCATCTTACTCCAGTGTTGCTCTCATCTTACACCAGTGTTGCTCTCATCTTACACCAGTGTTGCTCTCATCTTACTCCAGTGTTGCTCTCATCTTACACCAGTGTTGCTCTCATCTTACTCCAGTGTTGCTCTCATCTTACACCAGTGTTGCTCTCATCTTACACCAGTGTTGCTCTCATCTTACACCAGTGTTGCTCTCATCTTACACCAGTGTTGCTCTCATCTTACACCAGTGTTGGTCTCATCTTACACCAGTGTTGCTCTCATCTTACACCAGTGTTGCTCTTATCTTACTCCAGTGTTATGAAGACAAAGTTTTAAAAACAGTTGCAGTGTGAATCCTACGGACTTGGTTATTAAATAATAATAATAATAATATAATAACGAACAGAGGCAGTTGAGAGTAACAACGCTCTCTACCGTTACGTTAGTGACATAATTATTCCACAAGCTGGTTGCCAGATTTATGAGTCCCTCCGTTGCAAGCTTGTTGACTCGACCCTTGTACATAACATTCTAACCTGAAGCTTTTCCCTAGCTTTATTTCTCATCATAGTATAGTGTCAGATGCTCCTCTCAATATGACACTTGCGACTTGACTTTATCTGTCTCCAGTCATCTCTCCACCTGAGCTGACTTATGGCTTTATTCCTCATTTGTCTCTCCCTAGATTTAATTCAGTTTTGTTTGTTAGCTGCACACCAACATTACTGTTAGAAACATATTACCAGTTTCCTAACTCTGTGAGGCAGTAGGAAGATTTTTCTTTATCTGAAATTATCAGTTTTCTACTTTAGCTTTTTTAGTTATCTTCAGTCTACAGATTTAAAAAAACAAATCTTTGCCTATTGTAGCAGACTAGCTGTACCGTAGTAGTGGGTTGTGCCATGTTATCAGCAACCAGTAACGATGTCACAGGATCACTCTTAGTAAGAGAGTCAGACACATCAGGAACTTGTTTGATATACATACCTAAATATTCACCGCAACACCGAGATTATTACACCACGTAAAATACACATGGTTTCTCATAAACCAGAATGTTAGATATTAATAAAAAAGGATACACGAGAACCAAGTTGTCAGTGGAGTGTGCTGGTTGGTGGATGACACCCGTCTTCTTTTTCTACTTAAGATGTTTCAAAGTAAATGGAATCTGGTTAGATAAAGTTATTACCACAGCTGAGTAATGAATCGAGTTGAGAATCTCCTTCAGACCAAGTCAAACGCCATATGTAACCATTATGTTAAACCTGAAGTCCACGCTCCAACTAGCCGACAACTATAAAATAGAGAAAAAAATTATTTGTGTATGGTTTAAAGTTTAGTTTTGATTATAATAAATTATTTGCATATAATGATAGTTATATACTCAGCTCAAGCAACAACAAATAAATTTGAGCTGTCATTGTTGACTATTACCACTGATAAATTTCTTGACTTGTAGTTACCACTAACCATACATAAGTTACATCCGTTCCTACAGCCACTCACCAGTAATGAATGACAGTTACATCCGTTCCTACAGCCACTCACCAGTTATGAATGCCCAAACTGTGATGCCCATTAGTTTCAGGATGAGTGAATTTAGGCGTCTCATTCGACTGGCTTAAAATTTTTAATGTTGGTATAACAAGGGAAAATTTATGCAATAGTTGGAAATTACAGCCTCTGCCTATTCAGTTTCATACAGACTTTCTCATGATTTAGTTTCCGAGTGCTAACATTCCAGAGCCTCTTCTGAGAAGCTTCTATCTTCCAACAGTGGAATATCCCACTTAGAAGAAATGGAGTGTATAAGATGCTATTTTGTCCTAGCTTTAAATGATTTAATATTTTTTCATTAAATAACTTGAATATATCTCTCCTCAATGGTCCCATCTTTAAATGTTGAAGCATCCTATGAACAATCTATTCAATAAGTTTAAGCTTGGTACGTTCATACATGCCCGTATCCGAAAATAGTTAATAACTTGGAATCTCTGACTTGCTATCTGTCCCTGGATAAAACTTTTTCCGATGGTCAGCTTTAATCCTTCAGTATCGGTAAACTTTTCTCAAATCACTGTTTTGGAGCTGTGTTAGTTTTGATTTGCTAATTTTATAAAAGTTTATTTTCCATGATGAGCAGCAACTTATAAACACAGATATACATATGGTAATTAGATTTCTTCGATTAATCAAGGGCTGTACTGGTGCCGATTTGCCAACATTAATGAAAAAATTGTGACACCTGAAATATTTATTTGTGAATGCTTTGTCTGATTGGCTTCTGACCTTCAGTGTCAAAGTATCTCCCTAAATGGATAGTTATTACTCTACATAAGTGCCAATTTGCAGAATGTTGCTGCAACGTTTATGTGACATTTACCGGCATTAATTTTTTTTATCACTCACTGAGGTAGATGAGGCTGAGCTCATGAGATACTGGGATATCCTTCTCGGATCGCGCAGCGACTGAAGAATATGTGGTAATTGTAACATCATTCTTCCCACTTATTACTGCCTCAGTAACTACGCCTATCTGTTAATTATTAACTTTTTCTTAGCTACTCTAGCTCCTCAATTAGTCTCTCATTCCTGACTCGTCTGCAAACTATTCGCTCTCCATGGCCTAGTATATCTCTTTATGGTAAGTAAGTTACTCCTGGCATGAGTAACTTACCATCTTCGTGGTAAGTTACTCCTAGCATAGGTCTTTGTGCTCAATAAGTTACCTCTGTGTTTTAAGTTATTCTTGGCATGGTGCACCTTTTCGTGTTGAGCAAGTTACACCTTATATGACATATCTGCGCTGTGAATTAGTTACTCCGGGCAGAAGAACAAAGAGGTGACTGGAACAATACACAAATAACCCGCATACAGGGGAGAGGAGCTTACGATGACGTTTCATCTTAATCTCCTCTCTCCTTCGGTTGTAAGCTCGTCCTCCTTTTCGGTCCAAGTCGGACCGAAACATCGTCGTTGGTGAGGAGGCTACTGAAAATTACCATTGCACATATTTACAATGGCTTGAGAGGTCATGTCACAAATTTATTTAATTGAATAAGGCAAGCACAGTCTTGTGGCTTAGCAGTATTTAATAAATGTAATGAATTGTATTTGTTCCTACTTTAAATCCGCCCCACATTTCTTGCTATAAATATACGTATGTCAAAAACAACACTAATTGTGACGGTATGATTTTTTGGTCCTAAGCCTAGCTTCTTTTTCCCGTCTGATTCGGTCACTAACTCTTGTTCAGAAATGGCAAATTCCGCTGTTCAAACTACGCAGAAACTTGTATGATGCAAAGAAGGGAAAGAAAGAGAAGGTTTGGCGAATATCGTACAAACTCAAGTCATAAACTGATACACAAACTTACGTAAGCTTGAGGACGATCAAATTTTAGTAAATCCTGAGAGACAATACAGAAAAGTTTATGAAATTAAATTCATTAGGTAATACAAAATATCTGTGTCATAAGCATATCTTGTGATATGACTGCATAAGGGCGTATTTGCCTTAGGCATAAGTATAGTGGAAGCTCTCTATATTTATTAATAATATTCTCGCATATCTGAAGCTGAGATTCGCCAGATTTAAGAATAAGTATTAACAGGCATATGAGGCATATGTAATGTATGTAATTTAATATAATGCGTTTTTATTATGTCCTTTAACTCTCTTTTGGTGTAACTATCCATTGCCTGACGTGCAGTGACAGTCATGTTATCATGTGTCGTGGTAATGCGATTAGTTTCCTCTAGCTAGAAAAGCAGTTGTTGGCTAGAGGCGGAGGGAAAGAGAAAATATGAGACTGAGGAAAAGGGGTGTTGGTGCCTTGTTGACTAGAGACACAGGAGGAGTCTTTACGAGGCCTGGTTACAGACCGGGCCACGGGGGCATTGATCCCCGAAACCCTATCCAGGTATACTCCAGGTATACCTCAGTTCGACATCTGTCTCCGTTTAAGTATTATTTGTACTATAGTGTATTACCTACAGTTTCTTCTGTTATAACAGGTAATTGTGAGTGTATTTGTAACACAATGTATCAGTGGAGATTGTAGAGTGTTCAGGGGAACACTGTCTACAGTTATATGCGAGTGGCTCTGTTGAAGCTGGAATCTACCAAGATCTCCCTTCTGTAGATCATTGATCGTATAAAGGGTACTCTTTAAGGAAATAAACACGATTTCAAAGTATATACTAGGTATACTTCCTTGCCCGAGTCACAGAACCTACCTTCCAATCTACTGAATATATGTTATATATAATCAATGTTAGCCCTTTCTTGATCGTAAAGTATTCTTGTATATTTCTTATATTCTATTTCATGGTCTGTTATGATTATCTCATGGTTTACTTATATTTATGATACACATTCAACTTCTCTTTAATGTATCTATTATAAATACTTAGGATTGATAATCAGATTATAATTTCAGTTATGTGTGTAGTTGTTTCTATGTTCCTTTGCCTGACAGTCATGAATATTATTAAATATAACCATGCTTTGCCCTATTACCTGTGGAGGTGAGGCTATAGTCAAGAGCTGTTATTTTAGTTTCACTCAGTAGCGGTTTCAGAATACATTTACAACTTTTCTTCGGAATTATTAATAATAATTATAACCCATTGGACGAAGGCTAAAAGGAAAGTCTGGGAAGTTGTAACATCTACGTAGAATTTGAAGAAAATGTTTATGGATGTTAATCTTAACAATACTAACATCTGTGTTTAATATATTTGGTTCAATAACTCTTGCAAGTATTTCACAAAAAAAATGACAATTACTTCCGCCGTTTCCTCTCCGTCAATACAACACCTTGAATATCAGAACTATTGCTATTATTGCCAACAAGTTGTATTTAATAATCATGTTTTTTATGGATAATTATGTTCAACATGGCAAAGTATATATTTATTGTTCTCAAATGCAAAATATCTTAGGAATTCTCGATGTCGAATGTCCTCTTTTACATGCATTAAGTGGTAAACTTTTTTTTTATTAGAAACTAAAAGCACATGAGTGTTAGTGGTGGTGGATGTGTTCGTCATGGTTGAAGACCTTAACGATGGTCTCTGCGAAGTTGGGAATGTCGTGGAAGATTCGTTCGTCAGGGACGTGACGGTCCAGTGGGTAGCCATGAGGTTTCTTGTCTGGGTAGACTCCCTTGTAGCCATAGTGGTGGAACTTTTTAAATGTCTCGAGGCCATTAATGGCTGCATCAGCTGCACCATCAGTCACAGCCACCACCAGCTTGAACTCTACACCAGCCTCGTTGCCCTTGGGTATGAGCAGCCTGTTGGGCAGTCCAGTGGCGCTCACGAACTGGTCCAGTTGCAAGTCGCTGCCACCACTGAGTGCTGCTTCAGCTTTCTCATGTAAGGTGTTGATACTAGGCACGTCAGGCACTGTCACCGACGACTCAACAGATTTGCGCACAATGTGGTTTTCTCCAGGCTTTACTGAGGAAATATTAGAGAAAATATATATCATATAAATAAACTCTGTTTATTAACAAATGAATAATTTCTGTAGAATTTTGATTGATATATTCAACATATCCTAATATATTATTCTCTCACAATAATGTTTGTATGAATAATAACATTCTTTCTGCTTTTACAACTGTGAAATATATTTTATACTTACGAGTCTTAAAGAACTTGTCTAGTTCAATAGCTCGCCAACGACCCTCGTTGAATGGGAAGATGACGCCGTTGCTGTCACGGTGTGGCCAGGCGAAGATACGGATTGTAGATAAAACATCACCATCATTATTGTTTATTATGTCGATATTGAAGGAGAAATCTTTATGTTTCAGACGTTGAATATAAGTGCTAATCTCCAAGTCTTCAACTTCGTCTTTATCATCCACAGCATTTACAAGACTATATTCATAATCTTCCATGTAAGTCTCCAATGTACCATCAATGTTAATATTGTTGATAGCAACACCGCGGAACTCAAGCTCTTCCTTATTATAAGGTGGAAGACGGTCTTTATGTTTTCTGAAGAGGTCATCAATGTACTTGTGTAGCTGGTAGAATGCTGGGTCGCGGGTAGCTGTCTCATAATGCTCCAGGACACTGGGAGCCTCATGGTACCTGTCATGGGGGTCACCCTGGTGACCAAGCAAGACGTGAGCCAAATTGTTGAGGGAACCATAGTACTCAACATTGGGGCTGTACAAAGAAGACTCAATAATATTACCAAGGATATCAATACCTTCTTCATTTTTAATGTCCACCTTGGAGCCCTCCTTGTCAATGATGTAACCGTGATCGATTGCATCTCGAATGCGGTTCTCCAGTACTACTAAATCATGAGCCTCAGCAACATGATCCACGTTTTCGATGTGGATATCATCAGGTCGAACCGGGAAGAAACTTCCATATTTGTATAAAGTATGAGGATGGAAGCCGTCATGAAGAGTTTCATCCCAGTGAAGTTTTTGCACAAGGTCGAGGTGGTTGGATAATCGTTCAGCATCAAAGCGGTTGTTGAGCTGGTGATGGATCCAGAAAAAGGTCTCACCCTTACGTTCAATATGAGGGCCGAAAGTGTCATTCCACCAGAAGGGATATTCTATATGCCAATTAAAATAGTGATTACTAAGGCCGATGTCTTCAGTGAAGTAGGCAACTCTGTACTCTGGGTTATTCGGGGTGCCTGTGAAGTTTGTTACGAATTTGCCTGGTGTAGCTGTAATCTTCGCTTTGTATGCTTTTTGGAGTACTTCATTGCTTGTGAAAAAATGAGGAAGAATCTCATATATTGGAGGAAGTACAACATTTTTAGCAAGTGGGGAGTGTTTGGCAGCTGTATACAAAGCATAAACAAATTCTTCCTCATTTATTCTCTGACGGAAGTAAGCAGCATTGCTAATAACTGTTTTCCAATCCTGGCACTGAAGGAGAACATTAGTAAGTAATATGGCTTGTTCCCGCTGAGTGGCATTAAACACTGAGTAATAATGTTGCTTCTCCTCAAGGGTGTGATCTTCGAGTTCTTTCAGTAACTTGAGAACAGCAACACCACCGTCACGACAATCTGATGCGTGGGCTTCTGGGTCAAAGGTATCAGCTAGAGTCTTCAGGTTAGCATTATGCAGAGGCTCGTACACCTTGTAGAGCAGGTAGTTGATGTCGTGCTGCTTCTGTGCTAATGGTACACCTGTGGAATACGTTATAAGGAATATATCATGAGGGAAATTTTTAAAACTGATGTTTTGTATAGGCGATGATACAGGATTTACCTGTGAAACAATGAAAATAGAGGCACAATTCTCCTTATTTGATTTCTCCTTCCATACGCAGAAGCCAATAGTTAATCTTCATATGTTCGTTGCAGTCACTACTGAACGTGTTATAATTTATGACTGTCTTTATTGTCATTAATCTACAAATCAAGTAATTAGTGATTTTTATATTTACATTAGTTATGCTCTAAATCTGGTAGTTAGTAGTTAGCGATTTTTGTATTTTCAGTCACTCCTACAATAGTCTATGAGTTATTGAGTATTTTAGCTACAATCATTGCACTACGAGTTATGTATATAATGATTCTAGTTGGTATAATCAGTACAGCTCCTAATTGCCATCCAACATGCTCATACATTTATTATTCAGCTACACAACACATGCTGACATAACTGCTCTACCACTACACGTCACTGGCTGACATAGTTACTAACCAATGTACAACACAGGGCTTGAAAAGTTGCCATGCAACTGTACAACATAAGACTGATATAACTACTGTGCCACTGCACATCACAGGCTAATATAATGGTATGTTGTTACCCAACACACGTTGGTATTGTTGGTATACAGCGGCATCACAGTTACTATACCACTGTAACACATTCTGACAGTTCTTATACTACATAACACAGTTTAACAGAACAGTTTAAAATGTACTGCATACAGTTAACAATTCATTGTGTTGCTGTACCAACAATAGACGTGATAAAATATACAGGACCGTAGCTGACACACTTACCGTCAGATTCATCTTTCTGGAAGCCACTGAAATCGTCATCACCTAAGAATGAGAAGGCGGAGGCGGCAGCCACCAGCGCGAACACCACCAAGACCTTCATGGTGCTGATGTCCCAGCAGCTCTCGCGCCCCTTTATATACACCATCTCGCCCTGTGACCAGCTTGCTGATTGGACTCTCTTATCGCCCAGCGGTAAGTGGTGGAGTAAGTGGGAACTCTTGTTGGTTAGCTATCATATACTTGTTTCTGAGGTAGTGCATTATGCATGAGTGATCTCAATCCCACCTCTATGATCATAATAAATAATTCTGGTTTGAATTTGATAATCAAATCTAGTGTGACCTTGACGGTCAGTTGTAGTGTGATCTTAATGATCACATTTACTGTAGTAATAACAAATGTGATGAATTTTGAGTATTTTACCTACTCCAGTAGGTCAAAGATTGTATATTATTTCATATATACGTTTGCATATTTATGTATTTCTGTTAGTCTTTAATATTCATAGCTCGAATATTTCAGGCAAAGGAATAAATAAATATCTGTGTGGCACATTTATATTTTAAATATAACATTATACGGTATTGTGTAGGGAGGTAGTTTGGATGCAGACAGAAGCTTGTGGACACGAAGGAAGCTGGTGCAAGCTAGAAGCTTGTGGACACGAAGGAGGCTGGTGCAAGCTAGATGCTTGTGGACACGAAGGAGGCTGGTGCAAGCTAGAAGCTTGTGGACACGAAGGAGGCTGGTGCAAGCTAGATGCTTGTGAACACGAAGGAGGCTGGTGCAAGCTAGAAGCTTGTGGACACGAAGGAGGCTGGTGCAAGCTAGAAGCTTGTGGACACGAAGGAGGCTGGTGCAAGCTAGAAGCTTGTGGACACGAAGGAGGCTGGTGCAAGCTAGATGCTTGTGGACACGAAGGAGGCTGGTGCAAGCTAGAAGCTTGTGGACACGAAGGAGGCTGGTGCAAGCTAGATGCTTGTGGACACGAAGGAGGCTGGTGCAAGCTAGATGCTTGTGAACACGAAGGAGGCTGGTGCAAGCTAGATGCTTGTGAACACGAAGGAGGCTGGTGCAAGCTAGAAGCTTGTGAACACGAAGGAGGCTGGTTGCAAGCTAGAAGCTTGTGGACACGAAGGAGGCTGGTGCAAGCTAGATGCTTGTGGACACGAAGGAGGCTGGTGCAAGCTAGATGCTTGTGAACACGAAGGAGGCTGGTGCAAGCTAGAAGCTTGTGGACACGAAGGAGGCTGGTGCAAGCTAGAAGCTTGTGGACACGAAGGAGGCTGGTGCAAGCTAGATGCTTGTGAACACGAAGGAGGCTGGTGCAAGCTAGAAGCTTGTGGACACGAAGGAGGCTGGTGCAAGCTAGAAGCTTGTGGACACGAAGGAGGCTGGTGCAAGCTAGAAGCTTGTGGACGCGAAGGAAGCTGGTGCAAGCTAGAAGCTTGTGGACGCGAAGGAGGCTGGTGCAAGCTAGAAGCTTGTGGACGCGAAGGAGGCTGGTGCAAGCTAGAAGCTTGTGGACACGAAGGAGGCTGGTGCAAGCTAGAAGCTTGTGGACGCGAAGGAGGCTGGTGCAAGCTAGAAGCTTGTGGACGCGAAGGAGGCTGGTGCAAGCTAGAAGCTTGTGGACACGAAGGAGGCTGGTGCAAGCTAGAAGCTTGTGGACACGAAGGAGGCTGGTGCAAGCTAGAAGCTTGTGGACACGAAGGAGGCTGGTGCAAGCTAGATGCTTGTGAACACGAAGGAGGCTGGTGCAAGCTAGAAGCTTGTGGACACGAAGGAGGCTGGTGCAAGCTAGAAGCTTGTGGACACGAAGGAGGCTGGTGCAAGCTAGAAGCTTGTGGACACGAAGGAGGCTGGTGCAAGCTAGATGCTTGTGGACACGAAGGAGGCTGGTGCAAGCTAGAAGCTTGTGGACACGAAGGAGGCTGGTGCAAGCTAGATGCTTGTGGACACGAAGGAGGCTGGTGCAAGCTAGATGCTTGTGGACACGAAGGAGGCTGGTGCAAGCTAGATGCTTGTGAACACGAAGGAGGCTGGTGCAAGCTAGATGCTTGTGAACACGAAGGAGGCTGGTGCAAGCTAGAAGCTTGTGAACACGAAGGAGGCTGGTGCAAGCTAGAAGCTTGTGGACACGAAGGAGGCTGGTGCAAGCTAGATGCTTGTGGACACGAAGGAGGCTGGTGCAAGCTAGATGCTTGTGAACACGAAGGAGGCTGGTGCAAGCTAGAAGCTTGTGGACACGAAGGAGGCTGGTGCAAGCTAGAAGCTTGTGGACACGAAGGAGGCTGGTGCAAGCTAGATGCTTGTGAACACGAAGGAGGCTGGTGCAAGCTAGAAGCTTGTGACACGAAGGAGGCTGGTGCAAGCTAGAAGCTTGTGGACACGAAGGAGGCTGGTGCAAGCTAGATGCTTGTGAACACGAAGGAGGCTGGTGCAAGCTAGAAGCTTGTGGACACGAAGGAGGCTGGTGCAAGCTAGAAGCTTTGTGGACACGAAGGAGGCTGGTGCAAGCTAGAAGCTTGTGGACGCGAAGGAAGCTGGTGCAAGCTAGAAGCTTGTGGACGCGAAGGAGGCTGGTGCAAGCTAGAAGCTTGTGGACGCGAAGGAGGCTGGTGCAAGCTAGAAGCTTGTGGACACGAAGGAGGCTGGTGCAAGCTAGAAGCTTGTGGACGCGAAGGAGGCTGGTGCAAGCTAGAAGCTTGTGGACGCGAAGGAGGCTGGTGCAAGCTAGAAGCTTGTGGACACGAAGGAGGCTGGTGCAAGCTAGAAGCTTGTGGACACGAAGGAGGCTGGTGCAAGCTAGAAGCTTGTGGACGCGAAGGAGGCTGGTGCAAGCTAGAAGCTTGTGGACGCGAAGGAAGCTGGTGCAAGCTAGAAGCTTGTGGACGCGAAGGAAGCTGGTGCAAGCTAGAAGCTTGTGGACGCGAAGGAGGCTGGTACAAGCTAGAAGCTTGTGGACGCGAAGGAAGCTGGTGCAAGCTAGAAGCTTGTGGACGCGAAGGAAGCTGGTGCAAGCTAGAAGCTTGTGGACGCGAAGGAGGCTGGTGCAAGCTAGAAGCTTGTGGACGCGAAGGAGGCTGGTGCAAGCTAGAAGCTTGTGGACACGAAGGAGGCTGGTGCAAGCTAGAAGCTTGTGGACACGAAGGAGGCTGGTGCAAGCTAGAAGCTTGTGGACGCGAAGGAGGCTGGTGCAAGCTAGAAGCTTGTGGACGCGAAGGAGCTGGTGCAAGCTAGAAGCTTGTGGACGCGAAGGAAGCTGGTGCAAGCTAGAAGCTTGTGGACGCGAAGGAGGCTGGTACAAGCTAGAAGCTTGTGGACGCGAAGGAAGCTGGTGCAAGCTAGAAGCTTGTGGACGCGAAGGAAGCTGGTGCAAGCTAGAAGCTTGTGGACGCGAAGGAGGCTGGTGCAAGCTAGAAGCTTGTGGACGCGAAGGAAGCTGGTGCAAGCTAGAAGCTTGTGGACACGAAGGAGGCTGGTACAAGCTAGAAGCTTGTGGACATAAAGCAGTGTGGTACAATCTAGAAGCTTGTGGACGCGAAGGAGGCTGGTACAAGCTAGAAGCTTGTGGACACGAAGGAGGCTGGTACAAGCTAGAAGCTTGTGGACATAAAGCAGTGTGGTACAATCTAGAAGCTTGTGGACACGAAGGAAGCTGCTACAAGCTAGATGCTTGTGAACACGAAGGTGGCTGGTACAAGCTAGAAGCTTGTGAACACGAAGCAGGCAGGTACAAGCTAGGTGCTTGTGAACACGAAGGAGGCAGGTACAAGCTAGATGCTTGTGAACACGAAGCAGGCAGGTACAAGCTAGATGCTTGTGAACACGAAGCAGGCAGGTACAAGCTAGATGCTTGTGAACACGAAGCAGGCAGGTACAAGCTAGATGCTTGTGAACACGAAGGAGGCAGGTACAAGCTAGAAGCTTGTGAACACGAAGCAGGCAGGTACAAGCTAGATGCTTGTGAACACGAAGCAGGCAGGTACAAGCTAGAAGCTTGTGAACACCAAGGAGGCAGGTACAAGCTAGATGCTTGTGAACACGAAGGAGGCAGGTACAAGCTAGATCCTTGTGAACACGAAGGAGGCAGGTACAAGCTAGAAGCTTGTGAACACGAAGCAGGCAGGTACAAGCTAGATGCTTGTGAACACGAAGCAGGCAGGTACAAGCTAGAAGCTTGTGAACACCAAGCAGGCAGGTACAAGCTAGATGCTTGTGAACACGAAGCAGGCAGGTACAAGCTAGAAGCTTGTGAACACCAAGCAGGCAGGTACAAGCTAGAAGCTTGTGAACACCAAGCAGGCAGGTACAAGCTAGAAGCTTGTGAACACCAAGCAGGCAGGTACAAGCTAGATGCTTGTGAACACGAAGCAGGCAGGTACAAGCTAGAAGCTTGTGAACACGAAGCAGGCAGGTACAAGCTAGAAGCTTGTGAACACCAAGCAGGCAGGTACAAGCTAGATGCTTGTGAACACGCAGCAGACAGGTACAAGCTAGAAGCTTGTGAACACCAAGCAGGCAGGTACAAGCTAGATGCTTGTGAACACGAAGCAGGCAGGTACAAGCTAGAAGCTTGTGAACACCAAGCAGACAGGTACAAGCTAGATGCTTGTGAACACGCAGCAGACAGGTACAAGCTAGAAGCTTGTGAACACCAAGCAGGCAGGTACAAGCTAGATGCTTGTGAACACGAAGCAGGCAGGTACAAGCTAAAAGATGGCCGATAAGTGCTGAGACATCCACCGCAAAATATTCACAACAATATCGGCTCATGGGAAAAGCCTAGATTTGTTTCAGTCGCTCTACGATTCGAGAGAGATATCATCTTCGTAATATAAACCCAGCATCCTGTACCTCAAGCCAGACAAGTGACCTAGTAGCTGTGCCTCAAAACCCTCAATAGGAAGAGGAGGTACAGCTCAACTCCCATATATTATTTTGACATTTTATTTCACTTTTCATTGTTTGATTAAGTTAGGTAATATTTCCTGTTTGTGTATTTTTATATATGAGCCTACTTTAATTTTTAAATTGGTTATATATTCGTCATATTCGAGTCATATTATCTTTTCTATTTCTCTTTTCATGAAAATGGAATGAATTATCTCTGAAGCACTGAAGAGTTTCATTACAATTCACAAAGAAAAGTGCCTGTGGCACAGATAGTAATCATGGG